ATAAAGAATTATTCATCCAATCATATTGTGATATGAAGTAACCAATAATAAAATTAATTAATATTCTACTAAAAGTTCATATCACAACAATATATGTATTTTAATTAAAAATTATTAATTTATTCATATTTTGTATTTATTTCTTATCCTATAAATATATTCTTTCTGTTCTGTACTTTTATCTTAGATCTAAATATTCTTTAAATAATAAAATTGTAAGTTATAAATTGAAATTATTTATATTGTATTTTATCTTATTTATAAATATTAACAAAATAATCTTATATTTTTTAAAAAAATATAAAAAATAATAGAAAAAAATAAAAAAATATTAAAAAAAGAAATAATAATAATATTATTATTAATTCTTTAAATATTACTTTATAAGATAATAAATAATCTTTAAATATTACTTTATAAGATAATAAATAATTTTTAAATATTAAATTTTTATATTAAATAATATTAAATTATAAAATAATTCTTAAATACAAATAAAATTTAAAATAAATTTATTAATAATAACTCTTTTATTATTATACTTTTTTAATATTATTATCTTCAAATCTTGATATTTTATAATAGATTATATAAAATATATAATATAAAATAAAACTAAAATTAAATTAAATCTTTTATTTACAAGTTAAAAATATTTTTTAAATATAAAATTATTATTATATAAATATTTAAAAATATTTAAATATCTTAAAGATATAATTTTATAATTTCAAAAATAAGTTTATAAACTAAAAAATAAATATATATTTACAAAATAAATCTATAAATCAAGAAATATATTTTTAATTAAAGATATAAATTTATAAATAAAGAAATAAATATATAACTTAAGATATAGATATACAGTGGCAATCAAAAATAATGCAAGCTTAAATTTTTTACTAATTATAATTAGTAAAAAATTTAAGTGTTGCATTATTTTTGATTGCCACTATATATAATTTTATATTTAATAAGTATTTTTATTCTATAAATAAAAAAGAAATTTAAAAAAGAAATTTAAATTTAATTTTTAATTTAGATTTTACTTATAATTTTATTTATATTATATATTTTATATAGCTTATTAATAATAATAATAATAAAATATAATAATAAAAAATTATTATTAATAAATCTATTTTAAATTTTATTTATTTTTAAGAATTATTTTTATATTTAATTTTATTTAATATAAAATCTTATATTTAAAGATCTCTTATTATATTATAAAGTAATACTTAAAAAATTAATAATAAAAATATAATAAAATTTATTATTAAAAAACTTTATTATATTTTTATTAATTAATTTAAATTTTTATTATTATTAATAATCAAATTTTCTTAATTAATTTTATATAAATTCTATTAAATAAAAATTTAATATATTAAAAAAATTTATTATAATTAAAATTTATTTTATTTAAATTTTATTATATTTAGACTTATTATAATTATTATTATAATATTTTAAAATTTACAAAATTAAATTAAAATTAATATACTTTAATAAAAAAATATAAATATAATAATTTATATAATTATAAATTAAAAAATTAATTTTATTAATAAAATATAATAAAAATAATTTTCTTTTTATATTAAAATATATAATTTTAATATTAAAAATAAAATTTATAATTTATAATTTAAAATATATTTTTTTTAAAAATATTATATTATTTTAATTACAAATTATTATAAAAGATTTTTTTATTAAAAATAAAATATAATTAAAAAATTTTTATAATATTTTTCAGAATTAATTCTTGAATAACTTTGAATAATTCAAATAAAAATTTATTAATAATTTAATTATATAGATTTTGAATAAATATATTTGAACTAGTTCAGAAGCAAATCTTAATAATTTTATAATTAGAATAATTCTTTTTAAAAAATCTGAAAAAATATATATTAAACTATAAATTATTAACTTTATTTTAATATAAAAATAAAAATCATTTAATAAAATTATAAATATTTAATATAAAAGAAATTTTAATTTTTATTATATTTTATTAATAAAATTGATTATCTGATTTTATAATTATAAATTATTATATTTATATTTTATATTATATTATACTTAAATTTTTTTATAACTACTAATCTAATTTTTAATATCTAAAAATCACAAATTTTATTTTTCAAAAGCAAAAAGTTTTGCTTTATTTATTGAAAAATATTAAAAAATTTTAAGATGTTATATTTAACAAATCTTTAATTAGAATTATCAACTTTTATTTTTTGTGAATCTATATTATTTTAAAGAACAAATTAATTTTGCATAATTTAACACAATATAACATTTTTCAGAAAATTCAGTTCAAAAATTTTATTTTAATAATTTTAATATTAACTGTATATGCATTACATTAAATGTATGTCAATCAAATAAGATTAGGCAAATTTGTAAAAAAGTCATCAAAATCTATAATTATACGTAGAGGGTAATATTTTATTGAGAAAAATTTCAAAATTCTTCTTTCGTATTGCTATTGATCTCACTGTTTTTATCATCATTATATGAAGAAGATGATGTTGACGACGGTGGATCAGAATTTTTCAACATATTTTTCATTAATTGAAAAAGATAAACTCGCTCCTCTTCGGCAATATCGGCAAGTTTATTAGCATGATATTGAGCAGCATGAACTAGACGCTGTAAATCTTCGATATGCCCATGAAGGTCGTTCAGAGTAGGAGGCTCAGAGGATGTTGAAGGACGTCTTCGAGAATTTGAAGACCAAGAGAAAGCTCGATGTCCAAAATTATCATTAAAATGGTCAATGTAATCCATAAAGTGAGGTTTAAATTTTTGACGGTATTCTGAATATGAATTTGATTCATTGTTCTCTGATGAAGCTTGATTTTCAGACGTGGAATCAGAAGTAAATGTTGATGAAGTTGCGTCAAAATCAGATGTATTAGTTTCATCACTTTCATGCTCTTTATGTTTCTTTGCTTTCTCACTTATCCAAACCCAAAGATCCCCCTCTATATTGACACGATCATCAAATGAATACTCTCGGAATCTTCGTGACTCATAAAGTACATCACCTGGTTTCAATGTTCTGAAGCCATGAGATCCATCGATATTTTCAGATTGCATATTTTCCATCTTACGTGTAAGTTCCGTTAATCGTAACCAATTATAGTAATTGACCACAATCATAAAAACAAATGCACAAGCAATTAAAGCACTAATGGATAGGGTGCGAATACTCCGAAATATTGATGAAAAGATTGTTGTGAGAGCATTGATTAAATCGACAAAAGCTTGACTAAGATTCGTGGACGTTTCTGGTATTATGCCTAATTCACCATCATCAAAAGTACCTCGTTTTTTATCTATACGAGCTTCAGATATTTGCGTTTCGTTGTCAGGCGCGACTTCATTAACTTCACGAACAGGTGATCCGCATTCATCTTGAAATTCATTCGGATGAGCAGCAATATATTTACGGATTGCAAGATCAAGATTTTTATTATACTGTTGCTGGCCTTCAAGAGCAGCCTTCTCGATTGTACCTAAATTACCATTAAGAGCTCATTATTTTTATTTCTTTATGAAAGATTTTTAGTCACATAACTACTTAAATATACCTTTGAGCCATGATGATTTCGAAAATTCCACAGCGGCGGTGACAATGACGCGAGTTTCATTCGGCCCAGCCCACATAATACAAGTTCGAGTCTTAACACAGAAACTGCCTCCAAATGGTACATCGGGCGTAGTGGTGGTTGTGAGATTTGTGACGAAGCTGAAGTGGGGGAATAATAACAAGTGCAAGAAACATTAGAATCATTAAATATATATAATTACTAGGTATAAATTTACCTGTCGAAATCTCGAAGTAAACATTCATCCTTTAAATAACATTTGGTGGTTTTTGGACCTAAGATTAAGAGCAAACAATATCGTAATCAATCAGTTGTTGTTGTTGCAAGTAAATATTTTCTAGTTTTTTAATTAACTTTCAACATACCCATGGGATTATTCAGTGGCTTGATAAAACTTGAAGTACGAGTCAATTTACCATCTGGTTCAGATACCCATTCACCGATATTTACGTCTAGTTATATTAGAGATTTAGGAAATCGACGTTAGACTTTTAATAATATAACTCGCACCATATTTTTTCTATTTACCGGTACATTTCTCTTGTTCTACAAGAAAACGACGCACGAAACCACTTGTGAATATGAGATTGTAAATTTTCTCAACACTCCCAGTGTACTTTTTATCCAAAACTGTCGTGTTATAATGTTGTCGATTCTTTAGACAGTCACACATGACAGGATAATGTATCCGTTTCTTAAGGTTCGTGTTGATTCTTGTTGATTTTCGACCTCTGGAAGATTTTCCGTGGGTAGTTTTCACTTTATGCGGTACTGAAGAAACATGCGAGTTAGAAAGTTTCTGCACATCAGACGTTGAATTCTCTCTACTAAAACCACCGGATTCTGGCTTTGATGTTTCTGTGACTTTTTCATCTTTAGAGTCATCTGGCTTGGATGCTAATGGTAATGAAGTGCTGGAATTATTTTGTGGTCGTTCTTCTTTTGTTTGATCTCCAAGAATTAGTTTTATCGGATCAAGTGATAATTTTGAAAGTTTTTTCTGGAGAGGTCGAGTCTTTTTTTCGCCTAATAGATGTGGATGTTAGTGTAGATGAACTGTGTGTGGGAGATATATTATTTGAGAGAATACCGATTTATATTGTATGCATTATAGTAATCATCCAATTTCATCCTTTTCACCTTGGTATTTTAATAAATCGAGCGCAAAATAAACGAGTAAACAAAGCCGCAAGTAATATGATGACGATGATGATATCACGTCAATAACCCGGAAATTTGATAATTTGGTAATTGTACCTCAAATTTTTCTCGTAAATATATACAATCATTTCTCATATATTATATTCTCACCTTCATCCACATCACTTGCCTCTGTACCAACTTCTTCTTCTTCCTCCTCCTCTTCCTCCTCCTCCTCCTCTTCCTCGTCATCCTCTTCAGATATGGAACTAGATGTACTCTTATCATTTTGAGATCCAGTATAGGAAGGAGTAGTACTTAATGTTGGCCTGTTTTGTCGCCACAAGTTTGTCAATAAGTCATATACAGTATCCCGTGCAAGAAATGACGCAAAAAAGTGCTAAAACATTAAATGTAAATATGTGCTTATACTATTAATTAATATGTTTTCTAACGAGATTAGATTGTTCTTAAATTAGGTTACCTTGGCGTGAAGAGTTGAGATTAGAATCGCATTGGGGATAACGAATGCTGTCACTTTTTTCTCAATTGATACGATATCCGAGAATGGTATAACAAGCTTTTTTATTCAAAACTCAATCATTTTAGTATTTCGTATAAACCTAATAATACTCTGTTATTCAATACGCACACTAGTCACCCAGCCAAAAATGTTTGCATTAAAGCAAACGTAATTCACTGAAATATATAGTCGACCTTGAACAAGAATTTCCTTTTGCAGAGCACAGCTATAGTCTTGATAACATTGAAATACAAAAGGTCAAATATAAGACAATGAAATCATGTTGCTTAAATAGGAATATCCTCTCCTCGCTCACCATCAATTAAATAATCATATTCAGGTACATTTCGGAAGAGTGCATGGAATTCTTTGTGCCTCTTTGGACTAGCTGGAGAATGCTTTGGAATTTGAGCAGGAGGAGGCAGTTCAATTATATCGGATAATTCTTCTGTCGTGCCAGTGCTAGTGCTCCCCATCCTATTTGGCTTTTTCCGATCTTCTGGTGTTCCCAACTCTTCTATAGTTAAAGACGCACTTTGTGGTGAGCTAGTTATATTTGTTCCCGTAGCCACAGTAGTGTCCAAGTTAATTGTCGGTTGCAATTTATCTTGCCACGAAGACTTGTCTTCACCATTTGTTGAAGAAGATATTGTAGAAGATTTAGAATCTTGGGGACTCGTGTTATCTACCTGCGGGTCAGAAGCGCCTTGAACGTCATTGTTTGAATTGACAACTTCAGAGTTTTGCCTTGAATTCAGAGTATCCATTATGGAAGATTGTAGCGCAGAAGCGGCATTAGTTGCGGCAGTAAACATTTTAAATTCAAAATTAAAGTTATCTTGTTATCGCTATTTTTAATTTTCACTCAACTTTCTTGTGTGTGTGAGAAAATAATTAAATGTATAAATATATTAAAAACTGCTAGATCTACTAGATCTACGCAATTATTCAATCATTCAGATTTTTTACTTAATAATGACCGAATCGTCGTCTTTTCAAGAACCAAAAAGTTTCTATGACATAGTTGAAGTGAAAACTGATTGTAGTATAACTCAATCTTTCGATGCGATAATGAATTGTTGGAGTAATAATCTAAATTCATAAACTCATTTTATGTGGCAAATGGTCATTTTTTTTATTGGTTGAAAATTAAACTCATTATTGTGTTTCTTTTGTATCAAGGTATGGGCTCTCAAATACGAAATCGTTATAGATATGGCGAGAATAAGGATTGTTCCGAAAAATGGCAAGATTTTAAATTTTGTTTTAGAGTAAAAAAGGAAGATGAAGAGGGTCGAAAGGTGAAAATGGATTTTGTCTGATTCTCCCAATGTTATTTATAGATTATTTATAGATTTTAATTTATCCTATTTGTTTTAGCGGTTATTACAAGAACGACAACGAGAAAAAGCAGCTAAAAAGGCAAAAGAAAAAAATTCATTGGACATCTGGGAATTAAGAGAGTTGAGTTATAAAAGTATTCTATCAATCTTGGATTTTTAATAAAATTAATCATGTTTTGAACTTCATAAAAGAAAACCCTTAGAGAATTTTCCACCAGAAATGCCGAAAAAAAATGCAACATTTAGAACTTAACATTACATAGATGTTTTTGATTTGATAAATTTGTGTCTGTAATAAAATCACGTGAAACGTTAAATTATCCAATCATTCCAAGAATTGGTCTTTACCCCAGATCTTTTTAACCAATAGAACAATATCAATATTTAACAAACGTTTTTTCACGATGTAAAGAAACAACGACGTAATGAACATGTTTACCTCTTCGTCTACGGCGAATGACTGGTTGGATTATGTTAAAGAAGCAAATAAAATTTTCCGATAAAGAAATAAGCGGAAATGGTGCGTTCGGTGAAGTTTATAACTGTTGCTTTAAAATGCCTTTACATAAAAATAAAACTTATAAAAAGGTATCATTTATTGGGAATTGAAATACCAAAATTTAATGACTTGCTAATCTTAATGAATCATATTTCATTCAATAGCTGAAAGTCCTTATTCAAATTAATCATCATAAAAATTTTATGAAACCACTCAAGGTAAAAATATATTGGTTTTTTATTTATCCCCTTTTAAGGTTTCTAATTCAATTTCGTTAATAAAAATATTCTCTAGACCCAATTTCTGAAAAGTTTTTGCTTGTTTTAAAATACGTTAATGGCGGAACCTTAAAGATCACTTAAACGTTAATTTCAACAAATTAAATGACAATTAACATATTGAATTTGGCTAAACAACTTGCTAAGAAGTTAAGTGTATAAATGATGCAGGGATAATTCATCGAGATTTGGTAAGAAAATTTTTTGATTTTCAGTATGGCTTTAATTTAATTTTATAAATGCTAATATTAAATTGTTCTGTATATTAATAGAATATAATAATGTACTCGTACATAAGGGAGAGATCAAAATTTCAGATTTAGGTTATTCAAATCATCAATCTCGTTCTAAAACCGATTTGAGTGTGATAAATTACATTGATCACGTATTTCTAACAGATACGGCTAATTTTAGACGAAACGAAAAATCAGATATTTTCAGCATTGGCATGTTATTTTGGGTTATTTCTAGCGGTCGCCCTCCTATTAATCAATATGGTTATGCTTTTGTTCTTCATTTGAAAAAGAATTTCTGGAACTCTAGATAAATACGTGAACCTTTATCGAGTCTACTGGGATGATGTACCAACAAATCGTCCGGATATTTGTGAAGCAAACAGACAACTTAATGAAATAGAATGGCCGACCACCTCATCTGCTTTAGTTTTAGAAGAACCGGATTTTAATACATATATAGACTTCGCTGCTAAAGACTATTCAGAGAATATTACTTTTGATATTAATTTGGCTTCCGAAGATAAAGAACTGGAAATTTCAGATGATGATATTGTAAAATTATAATTATTGACGAATTGGTAGCTCTATCAATAATTTGCTCAGTAAAGAGGAAAACTTCAATCAAATTGGTGCCGAATTACAATCATATTACGACTTATAAGGATGTTACATTAGCATTGAACATTTATACAGAGTTATCAAAGGATAATAACTCTTTAGCTCAATTCTTGCTAGGATACGCTTATCAAAATGAATTCGGAACATAAAAAGATAACAAAAAAGCATTCGAATGGTGGTTGAAATCAGCCGAGGGTGGTAACGCTGGAGGACAATATATAGTCTTGGTTGGTGTTATCGAAATGGAATTGGAACACAAAAAGATGAAAAAGCTTTCGAATCGTATTTGAAAGCAACGGAAATGGATTCATAAGAGGCAATATATTCTTGGTAATTATAATCAAGGTGGCGCCGAACATAAGATGAAAAAAAGTTTTCGAATGGTATTTGAAATTAACAGGGGGTGGACAATTTAAGTGTGACATATGTTATAAAGTACTTCTAAAAATATTAGTGAATATAAAAATGGTATAAAATAGATGCATATAAATGAATTTGAAAACAGTGGAAAGTGGATTTATAAGAGGCAATATATTCTTGGTAATTATTATCAAGATGGGATCGAAACATAAAAAGATGAAAAAAAACTTTTGAATGGTATTTAAAATTAGCAGAGGGTGGACAATTTAAGCGTGACATACATTATAAAGTACTTCTAAAGATATTAGTGAATCTAAAAAATGATATAAAATAGAAGCAGAAAAAATTTTATAACTTTTTCTATCATCATATTGAAATACTGTTGTGATATGAACTTATATTATATTTATTATCTTATGTTTTATCGAATAATTCATATCACAATATTATTGAATAATTATTTATTAAGATCTTTGTAGAATTATTATAAAGTTAACAATGTTATTAGCAAAATTTATATATCAACTAATAGTTAAAGTAACATGTATATATTATTATAAAATTATATTTTGAATTAAATCTTATTCTAGTTATGGGTTGGTGCAAAAAGATTTGTACCTCAATATAAAAATTAATAATTGCTTCTAATAAAAATCATTCAAATTTT